TTGGTGAGACCTCATCTCTACAATAAATCAAAAATTAGCCGGGCGTGGTATAGTGCACCTGTAGTTCCAGCTACTTGGAAGGCTGAGGCGGAAGGATTACCGGAGCCCAGCAGGTCGAGGCTGTGGTGGCCAGGAGTGGCCACTGCACTCCAGTCTGAGTGACAGAGTGAGACTCCAACTCAATAATAATAATTGTATGGATGTACCATATTTTGTATATAAAATGCTTGTTTATCAGTGGATGAACATTTAGATTGTTTCTGCCTTTGGGTTATTGTGAATGGTGCTGCTGTAAACATTCTGTACAAGTTTTTTTCTGAATACTTGTTTTCAATTATTTGGGGCACATAGCTAGGAGTGGAAATGCTGAATCATATGGTAATTTTCTGTTTAACTCATTGAGAAACCGCCAAACTGATTTCCCTAGTGGATATAACACTTTACATTCTTACTAGCAAAGTAAGGTATGAAGACTCTAATTTATCCATATCCTAGCCAACATTTGATATTTTCTATTAAAAAACTGTTTGGGGGACAGGCGTGGTGGCTCACACCTGTAATCCTAGCACTTTGGGAGGCAGAGGCAAGAGGATTGCCTGAGTCCAGGAGTTCGAGACCAGGCTGGACAATTTGGCAAGACCTTGTCTCTACAATAAATCAAAAAATTAGCCAGGTGTGGTGGTGGCTAATTAGGAACTTAGGAAGATGAGGCAGAAGGATCACCTGAGCCCAGCAAGCCAGGGCTGTGGTGACCATGAGCATGTCACTGCACGTCACTGCACTCCAGCCTGGGTAACAGAAGAGATTCCTACTAAAAAAAAATTTTTTTTTTTACTGGATGCAGTGGCTCATGCCTGTAATCCCAGCACTTTGGGAGGCTGAGATAGGAGGATTACTTGTGCCCAAGGGTTCGAGATCAGTCTAAACATAGCAAGACCCCCAAACTCTACAAAATATAAAAAAATATTTAGCTGGGTGTGGTGTTGCACACATGTGATCCCAGCTATTCGGGAGGCTGAGGCAGAAAGATCACCTGATACTATAGCATCTTTGATTACTTTGGTTTGCACTCTCCTAGTGACTAATGACATTAAGCATCTTTTTATGTATGTGTTTGTTGCCAGATTGTATACACCACTTTTTTTTTTTTTTTTTTTTTGAGTCAGAGTCTCACTCTGTCACCCAGACTGGAGTGCAGTGGCTGCTCTCGGCCACCGCAGCCTCAACCTGCTGGGCTCCGGCCATCCTTCCGCCTCAGCCTTCCAAGTAGCTGGACTACAGTTGCGTGCTACCACGCCTGGCTCATTTTTTAATTTTTATTGTAGTGATGAGGTCTCGCCAAGTTGCCCAGGTGGGTCTCGATCCCGCGGGCTCAGGCAATTCACTCACCTCAGCCTCCCAAAGTGCGGGATTACAGGCTGAGCCACCGAGGCCGGCTGTATACACCATTTTTTAAAAAAGAGATATCTATCCAAGTCCTTTGCCTATTTTATTTCATTTTATTTTTCATTGAAATCTTATCCTGTTGCCAGGCTGGAGTGCAGTGTCAGGGTCAAGGCTACCACAGACACTAGACCCTTATCATCTATAGGATTTGGAAATATTTTTCATTCCATGGGTTGTCTTTTCAGTCTTCTGATAGTATCTTCGATGCACAAAATTTTAAATTTTTATAAACTCCAATTAATTTTTTTCTTTTGTTGCTTGTGATTTTGATGTCATAGCTAAGACACTGTTTACAGATGCAAGGTCATGAAAATTTACTCCTGTATTTTTTTCTAGGAGTTTTAATTTTTATATTTTGATATTTATGCATGTTAATTTTTGTGTAAAGTGGGTGATAGAGATCTAACTTCATTCTTTTGTGTGTGGTTATCTAGTTGTTCCAGCACCATTTGTGGAAAAGACTATTTTTTCCCCATTAAGTGGTCTTGGCACCCTTGTTGAAAACCAACTGACAACTGTGTATGGGCTTACTTCTGGACTCTCTATTCTATCCATTGGTCTATATGTCTATCGGTGCCACATTGTTTTAATCATTGAAACGTTGCATTAAGTTTTGAAATTAAGAAGTGAGTCCTTCAGTTCTGTTCTTTTTCAAAATTATTTTGGTTATTTGGGAGCCCTTGAAATGCCATATGATTTTAGGATCAGCATTTCCATTTCTGTCATTGGAATTTTGATAGGGATTGCTTTAAGTATTACCATCTTAATAATGTTAAGTCTTCCAACCCATGAAAATAGGATGTATTTGCATTTATTTTGTTGTTGGGATCATTGTCACTTACAGAAATATAAGGTTTACCATATATGAGATCACATGTTCATTTTTACTTTTTCCTTTTCTTTCTTTTTTTTTTTTGAGTTGAAGTCTCACTCTGTCACCCAGACTGGAGTGCAGTGACTGCTCCCGGCCACCACAGCCTCGACCTGCTGGGCTCCGGCGATCCTTCAGCCTTTGCCTTCCAAGTAGCTGGAACTACAGGTGTGCGCTACCACGCCCGGCTGATTATTGATTTATTGTAGAGATGAGGTCTCACCAAGTTGCCCAGGCAGGTCTCGAACCCGCGGGCTCAGGCAATCCACTCACCTTGGCCTCCCAAAGTGCTGGGATTACAGGCTGAGCCACCGAGCCCGGCCTACTTTTTCCTTTTCCATTTGGACGGCTATAATTTCTTTTTCTTGTCTAATTTCTCTGGGTAGACCTTCAAGTACAATGTTGAATAGAAGTGGCAGGTTGGGTGCAGTGGCTCACACCTATAATCCCAGCATTTTGGGAGGTGGAGGCAAGAGGATTGCCTGAGCTCAGGGGTTTGACACCAGCCTGAGGAACATGGCTAGACTTCAGCTGGGCGTGGTGGTGCATACCTGTGGTTCCAGCTACTTGGAAGGCTAAGGCAGAAAGATCGCCTGAGCCCACCCAGCATGTCAAGGCTGTGGTGACCAAAAGTGTGCTACTGCACTCCAGTTAGATGACAGAGCGAAACTCCCACTCAAAAAAAAAAAGAAGAAGTGGCATCCTTGTCTTGTCACTTATCTTAGGGGGGAAGCTTTAAGTTTTCACCATTGAATATGATGTTGGTTTGTCACAAATGTGCCCTATGCTATGAATGCAGGCTTCAAGATGGCTGAGGATCCAGAGGAGGGAGTGGGGCAAGGGCAAGTAAATACTCTGCAATGTTTTCCTAACTTTTCTTTGTAACAAATAGACCATCAGTTTTAGAGCAATTTTGGTTCTTAACAAAATTAAATAGAAGGGACAGAAATTTCTTATTGACATAATCTCTCTCCTTGGGTTTTGATTTAAATTGTTTCATGTATGTTATTCACATGATGAATAGTAGTCAAAATGGAGCACAGAGAGACGCTAAGGGAGGACCCCAGATCCAGGGCTGGATTCTGCTCACTACTAACACGGCAGCCTCCAAGACAAGAGAAGGGAATGGGTTCATTCTTTGAAAACTATGACAGAATATCAGGAAATTTATATCTATCTCCTGGCTCACAGTGGCCTTGGGGTCATTAAGTCTGTCTCTTGAGTACTGGAGAACAGAGAAGCCTCAGAAGGCTGACATGGGGAAGGTAAAGAGAAATAAGAGGGTGGAAGGAGGGATGCTCTTGGACAAAAATAAAATCTCCTACCAACCCAGAAAAATTCCCTCCACAAATGTAGTAAAGAGAATAGTATTGCTATTATTATTATTTATTATTAATATTATTAGTATTGGCATCTCACTCTGTCACCCAGGCTGGAGTGCAAAAGCACGCTCACAGTCACCGCAGCCTCAACCTACTGGGCTCAGGTGATCCTTCCACCTCAGCCTTCCAGGTAGCTGGAACTACAAGCATGCGCTACCACACCCAGCTAATTTTTTTATTTCTTGTAGAGACAAGGTCTCGCCAAGTTGCCCAGGCTGGTCTTGAACCCGTGGACTCAGGCTGTCCTCTCACTTTAGCCTCCCAAAGTGCTGGGATTATAGGCAAGAGCCACTGTGCCAGGAAAAGAATAGCATTCTTACTTTGTATAGGGACAAAAACGCTTAACCAGCCCTTTGTAAAGAATTACACACATTGCTAAGGAGCATTTTCTTTTTGTTGTGTCAGAGTCTCACTCTGTTGCCCAGGATAGAGTACAGTGGCACACTCACGGCTACTACAGCCTTGACCTGCTGGGCTCAGGCAATCCTTCAGGCTCAGCCTTCCAACCAGCTGGAACTACAGGTGTGCACCCCCACACCCAGCTAATTTTATTGAATTATTGTAGAGACGGGGTCTTGCCAAGTTGCCCAGGGTGGTCTCGAACCCCTGAGCTCAGGCAATCCTCTCGCCTTCGCCTCCCCAAATGCTGGGATTATGGGGGTGAGCCACGGCGCCAGGCTAAGGGGCACTTTCAAATAGATTTCTCATGGAAACACTCTAAGGGAGAGAGGGCAGGGAAAATTCAACTTAATTTTTACTTATCAATACGATTCAAAGTCGCCTCCCAGGAGCTGAAGAAGGCCTGCTTTGCGGAACACGAATTGCCATGTTGAAGCGGTACCGATTAGCCCAGTTCTCAACCTGGATCTTAGATGGGAGGCCAGAGCCATACCCCAGCCTGGGTGAGGCTTCCTCCCTCCGGGATGAGAGTTGCACAAAGTCTGAGCACTTCAACAGGAGGAAAATGTCGACAGGCACGCAGAGGAGTGCACTAGAGTTGAGGGTAAGGGATCAAGTGTGAAAGACAGCGCTGCCCAGTATCTCCCCCCTCAAATACAATGACGATGACCCAAGGGGTGCGCAGGCAGCACGAATTCAAACCCGGCTGGTGCTCACGTAAGGCAGCTTGTCCGTTACCAACCCGGGCAGGAAAATCCGAACTCCAACCTCCCCGGACATGCAACGCAACCTAGACCGTATTCACTAACAGGAAATGCCATCAGCGCGCAGCCCCTGCATCCGGAAGCGACTGCGGAAGCTGCCGCAGAGGCTTGTGGGGCTGAATCCCTGGTGGAGAATGGGCGGAGGCTACAGAGACTTCGCGGGGCGGTCGGTCCTGCTGTCGGCATGGGAATTTTCAGAAGAGAGACGGGGAGGCTGTCGCAGCAATAGTCATTGTCCTGGTACCTTAACCACTGCACGGTCCAGAAGCAGCTCGTGGCGGCCAGCGGGAGCCGGAGCCTGCAGGATTCTGGAAACTGCTTCTGGGTAGGTCGGCGGCCGGTGGCGAATGGGTCGGTCTGGTGGGCCCCAGGATGATGCCCTTTCCCGCGGGAGGAGGAGGGTCGGGAAAGGCCGGGGCTAGGTTAGGACTCTGGGTAGTGTGTGGCGTGTGGGAAGTGCGGGCTGGGGTCGGTCGGTGCGCTGGGGCAGCTCAGGACGACGGGTTGGGATGTTTCGTTTTTGGAGGAGGGAGCGCGACTGGAGACGCTCACTTAGGCGGGGCAATGGGGTTAGACCCGGACGGCTGGGAACCTCGGGGTGGCTGGGCGCCCCGCGGACCTGCCTTCCCCGGTTGGGACCAAAGTGATCTGGAACTCGAATGTCTTTTTGAGGAGTGTGGGCCTATTATTTGCCAAACTCTTGAAAGGAAGGGCGGCCCCAGGCATGCGTCCCCGGGGCTTATTTGCCCTGTGGGGATGAGTTCGGCTGGTCCAGCCGACCAACTCGCTCTATCCTCGTCGTGGGGACGTGGCTACGGCTGTATGTCCCTTGGTGCTTCTTGGCGAAGCCATGTTTATTTGAGTCCTGCAACTCTGAGAAGTTGTGGGAACCGAGGGCTGACGATAAATTCAAAGGGTGTTGTTTTTGTTGTTTTGGGGATGGGTCTAGATATGTCCCAAGTGGTGATTGGGTGAGTGGTGAGGGCAGGAGGGAGGACGCCTCAGGTCTTGATGTGCCTTGGTTTCTTGAGGTTGGGTGGTGGTGGAGGTGAGCCTGACTTGATGGAAGTATCTGAGGGGGTCTGGGGGAGTGTCTTGGTTCTGGAGTCTCTGGGGATTTTGCGGGGAGGGGTGAAAGAAGTTTCGTTCTCTAGTAGCAGTGAATTGCATCACTGTGGCCTGCATCTGGGCAGCTTTTTTTTTTTTTAAGAAAGATTTATTTAAAAAGAAATCACTTCCCACATGTGGCCCTCTCGGGTGCAATCAGATGCTGCATGGAAGATGCAAAGAATTGCACAGAAGTTAGATTTAAAAATATAGTTTATTTAAAAGTAAAGTAGAGAGAGAAAGAGAAGATTCACCTCCCCGAGGTGGGGAGGGCGCCAAAGCCAGGAAGCATGGTGACAGCCATAGCTCAACGAGTCTAGCAAGGCAATGGCCCCAGGCAGCTTTTTGAATGTTTTGTGGGACCTCTTGACCCAGAATTTGTCATGTGACTGGTGACCACTCTGCTTTGTGGCCAAGATCCCGGGTTTGAGTGTCATGTGGGTGGCCAGTTTGGCTGATTCCCTGTCTGTTCTTCCCCACATGTGATGGGTCCAGTCCTCTGGCTTGGGGCTCTAGGGTGTTAGTTAGGATGGGGACTTCTGAGGGCTGTTGGTCAATTGTCCAAGTCATCTGGCATATGGGGGTGTTGCGGGGAAACAGAGAGACTATGACGCTGAGGCTATCTTAGGAAGTAGCATTTTATTAGCACTAGTGTGACTCAGCGGGCTAATGCTCCAAGGCTGAGCAACCTGGAGAAAGAGGTGAGGGGTTTTATATGTTAGTTTAGGTAAGGTAGGGGGATCGGGTTGTATGGCTATACATTTTTCTTTGGAATTTGCAAGGTTGTATTTAGCAAAACTAGATATTCAAAGAACAAATTGTTTCCAGGATATACATGACAAGCAGGGGTTGTAAGCTGATAACTTCATAAAGAGAGGATGTGGGGGTAAGGCTGTGAATCGATTGCTATCTTGCAGTTCCAGGAAGTGGCTTGTGGCTATTTGGTTTTCTCACGTCCCATGTCTAGCAGGTTTGGAGCTTGCAGGTTGATTTTTAAAAAGGAATAATTTTAAACTGCTTTTAGCCCCTCTCTGCCACACTCCCCGCTTTGATGCTCAACCCTTTATGGGTTAAAGAGCATCATCTTCAATTTGGTGCATTAACATTATGTGGGCCGCGGTTTTTTGTTCAACAACTGTTTCCACAAACTTAGAGATGGAGTTCATAATTATTGGGGCTATGCAAGGGAGGATAAGACAGGATCCCAACATTAGGATTACAGATCCAGTAATGTACTTAAATCCTCCCAGAACAAGGACATGTTTTCAAACCAGTTGCCAATTTTTATGCCACGGCATTTTTGTACTGGGACATGGGCAGGCTTTCTAATATTGGTGGCTATATCAGTTATAGCTTTACTATTATCATCGATTTGCAAATAATAATCAGAACCATTAAATTTACCACATATTCCTCCCTCATCTGCTAGCAGGTAGTCCAAAACTAGGCAGTTATGACAAATTGTGGCACACATTTGGGCTTGTTGTTGAGCAACAAGCTCAAAAACCATGGCTGTTTGGTTAGTTATAACTTTTAAGACAGCTTGTAACCTGATCATGTGATTTGGGTGTGCAGTATTCCCCAACTTCCATCTTGTGCCCACGTGTCTGGGCCATAAGTATTTATAATTTTCTGGGTGGCCATTCGTCATCTTTCCAAACCTGGAACCCTCCTATATTAAGAGTTTGATCAAAAGATCAAGCATCCTGTGTTTTGAGGCTCTCATAAAGGGGAATGCCCAGTTTATCTCCCTTCGGGTTGGGCAGAAGGAAAAATCCTGACTGGATTATTCCTATGGTACCTGTGTCTTTCCATAGCGCTGGGAGTTGTGTATATGCAACCTTTCCACATATCTGAAACAGCCCTTTAGGGGCTGTCCAGTGGTCTGGATTTACAGAGGACAGGTTTGTCCAGCTTTGACTTATAACAGGGATACCTTGAAATGGGTTAGCTTGTTCAGAGGATAGTACTATAGAGTTACTTATAGTTTAGGTAACAATAGTACATTGGGAATTTAGTTGCATAAGCAGGTGCCCAATACCAAACAGGCCTTGTTGGCCACCAGCTTTGGTGGGTTGATTTCCAGTATAATATTTTTTTGTAAGGAGTTTCTTCTACCTATTGAGTATAAGCAGGGCCTGCTCTGCTTAAGCAGTCTTCTCCAATTATTTTTGAGGAGAGAACCCATTTTGGGGGTAGGTTGTCTGTTCTAACAGTTACAGAATTGTTTCATTGAAGGAGCTGGTATGCATCAAGACTAGTTCCTTTCCGAGGCCATTTTTCAGTCATTAGGGCTCCCCCGCATACCCAACAATTGGTGACACCAAGTGTCCAGGCTTTGTTTTCAGCCAAACTTATAAACAGATGGTTGAGGGAAGGGGGTTAACTCTGGCTGTTGGGCAACCAGGGGAGTTATAAATTGTACAACTTCTTTCAACAGTCTCTCAGCTTTGGGTGCAGGGGTGAGATCCCAACAAACCCAATTTGTGCTTCCGAGGCTACTACAAGCTATAACACCATCTTTAGTGTAGTGGTAGCTCTGTTTTGATAATCCAGTAAAGTACAGCTGGCCATTATGGATACATATTGGTTTGTCAGTATAACAAACTTCTGGCTGGGATGAATAACAATGGAATACTTTTAGATCTGGCCAGATAGTTTCTATACATTTACATGCTGGGTGTGTGGGGGAAATGATAGACACCCAAATTAGGCAGAAGTACATAAAAGCACAAGAAAGCTTCCTATTATAAGAAAGAACAGAAATACTAGTGAGACCTTTTCCCAACATGTCCAATTTGTAGGGGTTGACTTTCTCAGTCCTATAGCAAATCAAGTCAGTCATATAGCAAATAAAACGACCAACAGTATAGCAATTGGCAAATACAAAGGCTGACAAAGTGAAACAATAACTTATCAATAAGGTGTTGATTCTGTTGAGTCCTCAAACTTCTGCCATGTGCAGATCAGCCAGTGTTTGGTGTGTGGCTGAAGCAAGGCTAATGGATCTTATCAGTAAGATGTTGATTCCATTGAGTCCTCAAGTTTCTGCCTCGCGTAGATCAGCCAGCGTCTAGTGTGTGACTGAAGCAAGGCCAATGGATTCTCAAACTTCAGCAGTGCGTAGACTAGCCAGCTCCAGAGTGGCTAGAACAGGACTTGGGGAATCCGTTTCAGGTTTTCCGTTGGCATTGGTGACTTTCTGAAGGGTCAGCTTAAGGGGAGTAGATGGATTTGTGGTGTATTCCCAGTCTTGGGAGGCAGGCTTACCTCTGCTATAATGGATCCAGGGAACTATTTTGGCTACTTTGACTGCAGTTGGGATAGACAAAAGGACAGTAAATGGGCCCCTCCAGAGGAGTTTTAGAGGCTGTACATTCCATTCTTTTACCCATACCATATCACCTGGCTTAAAAGAATGGGCATTGGTAGCTAAACTAATTGGTAACCATTTTCTGACTTGATAATGGATGGCATTTAAGGCTGAACCTAAGGCTTGTATTTGTTGTTTTAGAGTAAGATTTCCTAACTCCTTTAAGTCTCCCTGTATGCCCTTAACAAGAGGGAGTAGCCACCCATAAAGGATTTCAAAAGGCGAGAAACCTGTTTGTTTTGTGGGGCTAGACCTTACCCTTATAAAGACTATTGGCAGAAGCAGGACGCAGCTTAAATGAGTTTCTTGGCATAACTTACTTAGTTGTGATTTTACGATCTGGTTCATTCACGCCACCTTTCCCAAACTTTGTGGCCGATAGGCTGTAGGGAGCTTCCATTTGATTTACAGTCCTCTTGTCATTAACTGTATTGCCTCGGCTACAAATGCCGGTCCATTGTTCGATCCTATGGTGATCGGGAATCCAAACCAAGGAATGATTTCTTTTAACAGGATTTGGGACACTTTGGTGACTTTCTCTGTCCTAGTGGAGAAGGCCTCCACCCATCCTGAGAAAGTACACACAAAAACAAGGAGATGTTTGTTGCCTTGGCAGCATGGGAGTTCTGTAAAGTCCATGATAAGATCCTCAAAGGGTTCCCCCCGACATGCTGCACTCCGGGGGAGACTTTGGATCTCTGCTGCGGGTTATTTTGAACACAAATTACACATTGTTCACAGACTACCCACACTATACTGCAGAATCGGGGGACATAGAAGTACTTACTAAGGGTATTTTCAAGAGTGATCCATCCACTGTGTTTCCCTTGGTGAAATTGCCTGAC